ATTATTTTAATTGTAGCATTTTCAAAATCTTGTAAAACATCAGGAGCAATCAAGGAAGCCGCTAGGAGCCTTGAAGCAGAGCAGGACAATGAGGAGAAGAGGAAGGATATGTCTTTGTACGTAATCCAGCCTGAAATCAAGTAGGCTTTTGAAACCCTCCAGGTCTATGACTACTGAGAAAGGAAGATCTCTCTCAGGACTGGGCATTAGGCATTTTGGTTCCAGCACTTCTTGCTTTTGGTCCACTTTGCTTGCCATAGCGTAACTGTAGCCTGGGCTTAAATCCCCCACCTTCAGATTTAGGAGGAGCTGAGTTCAAGACTGGTGGGCTGAGCCAGAGTGTGCTTATCTTTGCAGCTCCTATGTGCATGTCCAAGCCACATGACTAGCTGCTGAGATAAACCAGAGGTGACCTGCAGGGGTAAGCCTGTGGGCTTACAGGGCAGATGTTAACTGATGCAGTAGGTGTGTCCCAAATGCTCCCAGCTCAGGCTTTGGCCCTCAGTTCACAAAATATTCCTGATCCTTTTGATCAAGACCCATTAACATGTGCCTAAGTAATATCCGGATGGGCATAAACTTGACAACATACCTAAAATGAAGCAGAGCCTGATTTGGGAGACAAGAAAAAGAGTGCTTCTTCTCGTATCGAGCTGGGGCTTTCTGCTGGCACATTTGTTTAGCATTACTCCTATACTGGTGGATCAGATGAAAGCCAATCAAGTGGAAGAGAGGGCCATGCTGAAGCAAGCAGGCTTTCCTGATAATTGCAATGCTGCCAGCGTTCCTCCAGTCAGTTAATAGATTTCCCCAGGTCCTCTGTGCCAGGTGAAAGTTTCCTCATTAAGGGGAATTTATTCCATTTCCTTTTATCGTTTATTATTGAAGAAGTGAGTGGATGGAGTTCCAAAGATGCCAGGGTGGAATTTTAAACAAAAAGCAGTAACAAATCAACACTGGACACTGAAACGGAGGCAACAAGCAAGGTTTGGGAAAGGCTTGTATGGTTTATAAACTGAAAAATGTGCAGGGGGCTAGCTTTCCGAGGAGGTGAACAGCCACTAAATGATTATGGCAGTGTGCAAAAGTCTAATTGTCTGGTTTTGAAGCTCTAAAACTTCTGACTGTCATTTTACAAAGGCAAATGTAAGGAAGAAGGAGCATTATAGGAATCTGGAATCATCGCCACTTAATCTTCCCTTGTTTCAGAATTGATTATAAACCAGTGAGTTTAATCTTTGGAAGACTTTTTGCTCTGTGTTTGAAAAGTAAGTGATGCTCCAGGGGAAAGTGGGAGGCAGTGATATAGGACTGGGTCATGTATTTGGGAATAGCCAGAACTGAGATTTTTTTTCTTCTCTTTTTAGTGCTGGATTTTTGGTGAGCTCTTGGAAGGGTTATTTGCACTCAAGCGTTCAAAGAGATCAGTCTGATTTTGCTCTCGCTGGCTTTAGTGTCTCCAGCAAGGCTAAAGGGCTGTCTTTGAGCAAAGGCGGTGGGAACAGAATTAGGTCAATGCTGGATCTTAAAAATCATCACCCCTTAACCTCTGCACATCTCAGTTTTGCTATCTGTAAGATAAGCATCACCCTACCTACTGTTTGCATGTTTCTTTATATTCTTTCCATGAATCTTGAGATAGAAATACTAAAAATTACCCTTATTAGTAAATGGAAATTATCCAGGTACAAAGATGTGTGTCCAGTATGTGCAGAGAGGCAGCCTGATTTCCATACCAGTGCTGAGGGTTTGCAGCTCTCTGATCCAGTTCCCTTTAAACGTGGTGGAGCAATTCTGCTGGCTTACTCTGCCTGCCCCTTCTTGTGGTTGTGCCTCCAAATCCCTGGGAGCTGCCTCAGAGGGTTTTGGCAATTTCTCATCTCGTGGCAGATTCTGGTTTCAAGTGCTTGGAAAGCAGCACTGCTGGGTGTTTGACTCTTCCCAAGTTTTTATGACAGCATTAAATGGCAAAACTGTTACATCCCCAGGGCTGGGTTGTCAGTTCTAACCTTTCCTGCCTCGTGGTGAGCTAGGTGCGTTTCCTCCATATTAAGCTGCCTCCATGCCAGTGAGAAACGAGAAAACCTTTCCTGTCTAGGTGCTGCTTGAATAGAGGTTCCCACCGCATCTTTCTTATTAGCCACATTGAAAGCTACATCTCTTATCTTTTCTTTATCATGCATTGGGAGTAGCAGAGTTAAAAATACACGGTTTCATTTCCCCTTTAGGTGCTCAGCTTTTCTCTTGCACACTGGTTGTCCTGTACAAAACTGGTTACCTTTTTGCATGGATTAGTAAGTGTCCTAACCTAATTTAAGCTGCTAGCCCAAGGCAAATGAATCATGTCGCCAAGTAATCACTGCTTCTCTTCTACCCACCCTGCTGGGGGGGATGACGATGAATGATATTGTTATAATGAGATACAAAAAACTGAACTGAAACAAGCTGAAAATGAAGGCAATTTTCTTTCCCTGTCAGTAATCAAATGACAGCCAGCTATGTGTGCTTCTGAGGTAGAAGGGAGGGAGAGCAAGGAAGCAAACTTCAGTGAAACAGGCTCATTTTCTTGGGGTCATCAGGTCTGCTCACTTGTACTTAGGGAATGCTGAATCTAAGAGAGAAATCTAACGTGGTTGCGTTCTTCCTAACAGCTGGCGACAGCTAGCATCTGTTTTGCCAGAGAATTGGCAGATTTTGCTTGCTGTGTTTCCTCCTGTAAAACACCCATCCATGCCTTCAGTTCTGGCATTCACAGTTCATGCAAGAAGTCCTGCCTCTGAACTGAGATCAGAAGGTAGAAAGGGCTGAGGAGAAGCAGAGGAGTTTTGCAGTGGAGGAGTTAGTGCATGGAAACCGCAGGCTTTAATGTAACTACTGTGGTGCTGCAAAGTGGGTCTTATTTTGGGAAGTCTTTCTGCACCCAGAACTGAATCCAAAACCCAGGAAGCTCAACCTGCTGGATTAGGCAGGACTGTTTCCTTCTGATACTAGCAGAGAGCAGGATCTGCTGGAGTAAGAAGGGTGATGTGGTAGAGGGTTGTGGAGAAGATCAAGGGTGTAGGTAGTACTCCTGCCTGGAGTCTCCTGATGGCAGAGCAGGCCGGTTGTTGGCGCCAGGCTGAGACACAGGGCAGAAGATAGCATCTACAGTGAGTGTTTCCTTTCTGCAAATGCTCACTAGCTGTCTGTTACGCTCTTGTAGGCAGGTGGAGCACTTTGTGCTCACATTGCAGGAGAAGGCAAGGTGGCACTGGGGAATTCATAGAGGAAAACTCCCTACCCAGGGATGTGAACCCATAAGATTCTGGTCCCCAGTTCCGCTCTCAGAACAGGTGGTTTGACACTTCTGTGACTCTCACCTGCTTTACTAGCCTGACTTCACCATGGGCAGCGGAGCTGCTCTGTGCCTAAGCCAGAGTGGAAAATCCAATCCAATGACTCTTTCATGCTTCAGCTTCCTGACACATTCCAATAAAGCGGCCTTACCCCTCTCCTCCCACTCAAATAACATAATGCTATTTATTTAAAAATACCATCAAGCAAAGGACATAATTCAAAAGCTCTGATTTAGGAAAATTGCTTGTTTGTTAATCATTTCCTTTTTCCTGATTCAGAGCTTGCTTGCTCATAAAATATTGATTTATTGGGCAGGCAAGGATGCTCTTGGCAATAAAGATGAAAAGCAGAAGTGCTGATAAAAATACATAGTCTTTTTTATGCTTTTGCAAAAGCTAAGCTTAGAAAAGGTAGCTTAGAAACAGACACAGGCAGAAACTATCAGGGCTATAGGTGGAGTCAAAACAAAGTGGAACAAAGATAGTGTGGGAGAGAAAAAAGTGACGGGAATAACGGGGGAATGGAGAAGATGAAAAAATCAAAAGCAAAATGGGCAAGAAACTGTTGAGCTGCAGAGATGGCCAGGGAAAGCAACGTATTTGAAATAAACAGTAAAAACTAGGACTCCTAAAAAGCAAAACCAGGAGAACAAGAACATATGGAAGTATTGAGAGACCCTGACTGCAAATATGAAATCAAAAAAGGTGCTGCTGCTTTACCCTGTCTATCCCCCTCTCCCTTTTTTCATAATGCAAGAAGCAGCACAAATTATATGGAAAATGTATACTTGAGACTGTCAAAAGGAAAAACCTACCTTGTGTGTGAGCCTCTGGAGGTAATTTCTACTATGTATCTCTGAAGTCAGATGCTTTTTCAAAAGACTGGCCATTTCTGAAGGTAGACAGAGCATCCTCAGCAACAGAAAGAAGGGCTTGTTTGGGACAAATTGTAGTGTTTTGAGGCAAGTTGTCCCCCAGCTCGGCAGGGTCAGGGGACAGTTATGCCTCTGAATGGCTCGTCCCAGAGCTTCAAGAATTTCATGCCTTTGTGTGGAATGGGTGACTGTAATGAGAGGCAGGAGATGTGAGTACATATATAACTGTTGATCCAGCCCAGTCTGGTGAGGCCTATATTTTAAAAATTTGACTGGGAGGAGGAATGTAAAGGAGAGATTGAGTTAAAGGGTGGGCATGGAGGTGTGGGGATACTGAATCCAAGAAAGGAATCACTGCAGGTCCTCCGTGGAGGCTGTAATGGTAAATGACCATTTATGGTCATTTAAATGACCAAAATGATAACAACATATACAGTTGTTGTGGATATGGTGACCTTGTACTAGCCTGGTGGAGAATGCTGCCTGGGAGATGATGGACGTCATCATGAGTCACTCATTCCTGTCTCAAAGATGCAAGGAAAGAAAGTGTTTCACTTCCTAGCATCAGTAGTCTGCCTGTAGACTTTACCTTATAGGTGTTTGTGGGGGGCATCCAGTGCAAAAAAGGTCTTTTATGTATGAGGATTGCATAGCTTAGCTGGGTCTTCTTCCTTTTCTTGCCTTTATGTGCATGATCCTATAGCAACCCTATGCAGTATGGAAGACACAAGGGCTCATATATCTTCTAAGTATTCCTGTAAAACCTCATGTTTTTCTTATTTAATCCCAGTGAAACAGTTCCAGAAGAGACACTGAGGAGAGCCAAACAGATTGGGTTCTCAGACAAACAGATTGGGAAATGCCTGAGGCTGACTGAAGTCCAGTGCCGTCAGCTGAGACTGAGGAAGAATATAGTGCCCTGGGTGAAACAGGTATGTGAGAAACACAGCTGTTCGTGGTGAGGCCTTCCAAGAATGCAAGGAGCAGGAGACCTCCACGTCCTTAGAAACAGCTGAGGTGAACAAAGTGGAACCCCTGGCTCTGTTAACATCCACGGGAGTTTTGACATTGGCATTAGAGAACAAATTTCAGCCACGTAGCTGTTACTTCTGCACTGCAGGCATCAATGTAATGACATGAACATCCCCAAAGAGAGACTCAGAATATTCTTGTTCATATTCTGTGTGGCTGAGGAAGAAAAGCAGCTATCTGGCTTCAGGAAAAGGCTGAGAATGCTGGCCCACCATGGATGTGACCATGAAAAATGTAATATGTCTTTTCTCTTGGTAGTAACTTTTTACAGGGTAATACTTTATTTGAAGTGTCCTAGTATTCATGGCAGTGTCACGAGTGCTTTGCTAGGTGTTCTGCTGCTGCATTTAAGGTATGTTGGTATTAAACTACCACCTGCTGTTTTTTTGTCCTTAAAGGGGGGGAAAAAAAAAACCCAATCCAAACTACTGAATGTTTCTGAAAGAGCCCATCTGTATCCTCAGGCCCAATTCCAGGTGCCAAATCTCCTTCTGTTCCCCAGCTGCTGTTTTCCTTCTATGTCCTCACGTGGCCCACAGAAACGTGCCTGGTCTTGCACTGTGTTCTTTCAGCTGCATATGGCACTGCAGTGCTGGATTGATTTGTGCGCCAAGGTACCCTTAATAAGGTCATTCTATTTATACCTGCACTTGTGGCTTCAAAGCATATGTTTCTTCTTGAGCCATGAAGTACAAGTTGCAGTATTAGCAACAGTAATGAGCAGCAGACACTTACATAGTGCTAATGACGTAAGGTCACATTCTTCATTATTCATAAGGATTTTGACAGCCAGTGGGGATTCCTCAAAATACTTGAAGATTGGACAGATTTTTAAATGGTATAGCGTGTAAAAATTCATGTCAGGACTGTTTTAATATTGTTCCCTGTTCAGTATTCTGTGTAGAAATGTTTCAGCTGTTCATTCAGGGAACTTCAGCAATCGCTGGTGACCTAGATGGACTCGTTACCATGTATAACATGCAATAAGTAGTTGACACAAATAGTTTGTGAACAGCCCACTAGGCAAATTATTCTTCTGGTCTCTCTGGTGACTAATTACATAAAAAATTGTTGAAAACTACATATAAGGGGTGGTTGAAAATCACTCTTGCTTTGTGTATCATTTAATTATCAAAACACGAGTTATATTGTAACAAATACATAGTACTTGCACTGCTGGCTGCTACTCAGGATGATCTCAAAGTGATGTGTGCATGTTTTTATTCGCTGTAGGAGTAACATGGTGTCAAGAGTATAGTGTGAAGATCCCAGACAGTGCAGCTAAAGAGGACAGGAGACCTGGAGGAATGGAGATCTGTGTAATTAATGCTGCCAAACTAACTAAAGAATGTGGGCCTTGGCAAGAATGGATGGATGGGGAAAATTTCTGGGCTGTAAAGGTGTTTTATCAAAGAGGTGCAGAGCTAAAACTGCAGCTTAGAAAGAGATGGCAGACTCTCCTGTTGACTGAACTGTAAGGTCTGGGGGGAAGGCCAGGCATATGCTGTGCTGCCAGCATATGACAGTTCAGATCACCTCCTTTTGAGGAAAGACATCATAGGAAAATAATAGGACAGAAATAGGATAAGAAAAGGAAAAAGGGAAAAGAAAAACCCCAAAACACCTGCATGTAAGAAGGATCTTACACTGGCCAAGTCACAATCCCTCCTCTTCTTCCCCGTACAGATCGACACACTGGCAGCAGAATACCCAGCAGTAACTAATTACCTCTACATCACATACAACGGGCAGGTAGGCACGTTCAGAAACAGCAGTCTCATTGCTGTCCAGTTTGATCTCTTTCCCCTATGCGGTGTTATTTCTGGAGATCTTGCAGATGTCTCGGTCTCTGTAGCAATTATTTTGGATGGTGTTACATACAATCCCCTTAAAGCAGGTCTGGAACTTTCTCTTGCTCAAATACTGATCCAGTGCATTTAGTGTTAATGCCCCTATGTTGTTATGAGCCTGTCCTATATCACCTGTACTTGCATCCTCTGTGAACAGAACTCATGTTTCACTCATCTCATCCTAGCATTCATTTTTATATGAAACTAAACAGCTCTTTAGGCTGCTCGAATAGCCAAATTGGAGGTGCTGCATCTCCTTTGGTTTGGGTGCAGCACCACTAATTCCAGCAGAGTTGCACTTGATTTACACTGCAGTAAATGAGATCAGACTTGAGCCCTGAAGGATCAGACTGTTGGATATGGGCTGAGCACCAGAAAATGTTTATTCTGAAAAGCATGGAGTTAGGTGCTGTGGAGTACAGATCCTAATGACTTTTCTCCCTCCCTTCTCAGGAACACGATGTAAAATTTGATGACTGTGGAGTGATGGTGTTGGGCTGTGGACCGTATCACATAGGTAAATCTTTCTTACAATGCCTCTGTTCTCCTTGCACCCTCGAGCCTTCTTTGGATATTCTTGTGGTTCATTTGTTCCTCTTCTCATATGGTGACAAAACCCTCCAGAGCACAGCACACAGGACATCAATTCCTAAAACAGGGTTTGCCTTTTACACTTGCTTGGAGACTTCATTTCACGCCCTGGAAAAAACAGGAGAATTTTATTACTTTTCACTTGAAACTGAAGAGCATGTCACTTAGTTGTGATTTCCACAAAGTTTTTTTTAACCTTACTTTTTCCCATGTTAAGGCCTTGAGAACCTTATACTTTGTATAGAAGTTTGTTGCTGCAACACCTATCTTATATGTTTACTGCCAGCTCATGACTATGTTGTCATATACTATGCATTTTGCTACTGTAAGTATAGGTGACTATGAAAATATTTTTATATCTTCAGCTGCTTTTGTATAAGCAGTTCTCTGTATGCTGTTTCTTCAGCCCACTCCGATGATTATGCAGCATAAGAGTTTCCTTGTGGCTATGAGTATTGGGTAGTCAGACTGCTTAATTCTGTACATGATGACTTTCACTGTTTCTTTTCATGGATCCTTCCAAATAGCTTGCAATTATTGACAAGAAAAAAATTGCTTGTTATTCAGAAATACTTTTGCTCTGCATCTTACAAGTAGCAGTGATGGTTTTTGAAAGCTGAAATTTAAAACTGCATCCATTTGTTTTGCTTGGATGGACAGGTCACGTGCTACGCTCCTGTTGCTGTTTGTAGGATGTGTCTTTTTAAACTCAGTTTCCAGTATGAACGTTGAGATGAGTGAAATCGGGAGGAACGCGCCACAATTATGCTTATTTTTTGTGAACGCTTCTGCCAGTCAACATGCTGTGTAGCATGGTTACAAAAAATGAACATAAAAAGGATGGCAGTGTTGTTTAATAATTTGATTGAATGTATGTGAATACATTTTGCATTGTCCACCTAAAACTCCTAATTGCTTAGATTAACCATACAGGTCTGATCTTGGTCTTACCTGTTCTGTAGCTTTGATTAAATCAAGACAATCTTTGGAAGAGGTTGCAACTAAATAAAGGCTGCTAAAGGAAACCATTACTTGCACCTCTAAAGGATTTTTTTTCTGGGTGCAATAGCCAAGTTGATTTTTTTTTTTTTTTTTTTTTTTTTTTTTTTTTTTTTTTTTTTTTTTTCTTTTGTTATCCTTTGAAGGCAAGTAAGCAGCGTGCTTTTCCTCTATGCTTTCAGAACTGTAAACATAATTCAGTGGGATCAAATTAGTGTTCCCTGTGGATTTACATTTACAAAACAGGAACAGGTCAGAAAGGGCTAAATGATTTGGATGGAAGTTAAACATGTGACGTTACTTTTTTTTTTAAACAAGATTCTTATTTCCTTTGTGAAAACTGAGTTTTAGATTAAAAAAAACAACCTTATGAATTTTATTTGAAAATATTTTGAAATATGTTATGGGAAAATCTTGAATATGTTGACACTTTTGCAAAGAAAATTATTTGGGGGAAGTGTGAGGTCATTTCAAAAGTCATGCTATATTCTGTATTTAAAAAGAAAATTATCCAAACTGAAGTGTCTTTTTTTTTTTTGAAGCTTTCTTGTTCTTATTAACTAATTCGCCAAATAGAAACATGATGTGAATTGGTACAGTTGCACACTCTTGAACTTCAGAGCTTGCTTTGATGCACCTTTCATGCACACGTAAATGCCTCTGGCTCACTGAGAGCCTGAGTTGCAGTGTGTGACCTGTGCTCCATGGGGGTATTGCTCAGATATTCAAGGCGATGCTTGCACTTCACTTGCTGCCAGGAGGGTATCTCCTATCTTGAGAGGGGGTTTTGTTTGTGTGAAAGTCAGCCCTGAAAGCAGTATAAATAAGCTATTCCACCAACTGCATGGACCAGCAGAGTGCTCTGTAAATTTTAAGGTGTGCATGTAGATTTAACATGATTGAAACCTGAAAGTGAGTTCAAAAACATGCCTCTATTGATGTAGTAATTATCTGCTGAGCAGCAGTGTCTGGTTGTGTTACAACAGTCATTACTAGTATTACTAATTATTTGCTGTCTTCCCTTTTCCCACTGTTTGGACATGACCATTACTGGATGTAGCTGGAATATACTTACAAGCGTTCAGCTGTTTTCCCAGGTTGTATCTAAAGCAGTCAGATGGGGACTCCAGATGACCATTGTGTCACAGAGTTGAGGTTTCTTATGTGTATAAGAATAATGGACGTGGAATTACAAAAAGTGAATGAGCATCTGGTGACCCTTCTGAGAAACATCCAGTTTCAGATTTGATTTCCGTCTCTTGTCTCTGGGGTTTTAGCTGGCCTAGGCATGTTTTGAGGTTCCTGTTTGACAGAAGTAGGGAAATAAATTGTGTGCCTGTCAGCGAGTGACCTGGGACAGCCATCTGTTTGTGACTAGGTGGTGGAGGCAGCAATTAAGCACAGCCTGAATTTCCAGTTTATCTTGTCACACAATTACATACAAAAATAATCATATCAGTGGTTAACCATCATGTAATGACTGTGAACACATCATGATGAGGCCAAGGTTTTCTTGTAGACTGTAAGCATAACCATTTAATGATGTTTTTTAATCTGCATCATTCTCTGTTTATGGTACCCCTCTTAGATGTTTGAGCATAGAAATTTATGGGACAGTAGCTGTTAGTGCAAGTCTGGACTCCAGCGTTGCCTGAAGCCTGCAGCGTTGCCCAAGTCCCAAGTCCTGCAGCTTGCCCAAGACCAAGCACCAAGTCCTGGTGCTCACCCAAGCACCAAGTGACTCTCTCTGTGCCTCTTTCCTTTAGAGGTGGCCACAGTGCTTACTCAGGGTTCAGGACAACAGGACATGCTTGCCCCACAGTGTTACCATAGTCACTGTGGCCTTTAAACCAAGATAAAAGGATCACAGAGTGGCTCTAAAAGTGGTGTTCTACCGATTTGCCTTATCTAGAGTCAGCACACAGGAAGGTCAAACCCATTGAGTTGTAATTTTTCTGTTGTTAGGTTAGCCATACTCTGCTCTTCTGGAAGGTAAAAAACACTTCAGTCTTCTGTTTTTTAAACCACATCTGTACAAATGCTTCCTGTTTCCTGGAGTACACAGCGCTGTCTTATAATAATGGGCACTCAATTTGGTCACCTCTAAGCTTCTGCCTCTTAAGTTTATCTCAAAGCGCATTGGTTGGGAAGCAGCAGTAGCTGGATGGGCGGCAAGAGCAGACATGAGTGTTTATGAGCGCAGGATGACAGATGTGTTATAGAGGCCTGTCACTCCTGGGCAGCTGAGCCAACTTACCTGTTGTGCTTGGAGGCTCACATTTGTGGATGATTAGTTTCCATGGGAGGACAATTAGATTTCTTGCTCTGAGCTGACAGGAGGCAATGCTGGGCTTTTTTCTTTTTCTTTTTTAAGTTTGAGTGCTGAGAATGTCCGTGTATGTTTTCTTTGCATCCTTCCTTTCCTTGCCCACTTTTCTGTCTCCTGGCAGGCAGCAGCGTGGAGTTTGATTGGTGTGCTGTCTCGAGCATCCGCACGCTGCGTCAACTTGGCAACAAGACTGTCGTAGTGAATTGCAACCCGGAGACGGTGAGCACAGATTTTGATGAGTGTGACAGACTGTACTTTGAGGAGCTGTCATTGGAAAGGATCCTGGACGTCTACCAATATGAGGTAAAGAAAAGCAGAAGCACAATAAAAAGCCATGAAGCAAACCAAACTTTTCAAAATTCATGTCACTAGCTTGCTTTGGCAGAGCAGCTGGGGGTGAGGGGGGAGATCTTGCTAGCAAAAGCTGTTTGGTTTGGATCCCAATGTTGCATTTTACACATCGTTGATGTTCCTAGCAGACTGCTCAATAATGAATGCCAAATAAATATTAAATTATTTTGCAAGATGCCATATTGTGCAATATTTACAAGCAGATTTAATTTGCTGCACAGTCATTTATCGCACAAATTGTTCTGCCCTTGCAGTGCTGAGCTTTAGCACTTAAGCATATCCTTGACTTTAAGCACAAGTACTCCCCCTGAAGCAGTAGAACAAGTTATGTGCATAACGCTAACACGTGCTCAAGAACTTGCAGTCTTGGCTTTGCAATACAGTGGCAATGTGGTGGATGTGGTCCAGCATGTAGGCAGGCAGGTCAGGAAAGGGCATTGGAATTGCCATCAAACCAAAACATGTTCCAGCTCCGGATTCTGACATTGCACTTGTCTGTCTGGAGTTTTCAAGTGCTCAGAAGTGCTGATACTAAGAGACAGAGAAGAATCCCAGACAGATTTAGTAATGGGAGGATATATAATGTAAACAGTTGATCCCAACATGGGAAATGTTGATTTCTAACTGGTAACACACCCATCTTGGATTTGTGGCTGAGGCTTTCAAAGGTGCTTACAGGAACTTCATCTCCCTTGAAATTCAGTGTGAGTTGGCTGTGTAACTTGCTGAAGTAACTTTGCAAAACCCAGGTCATGTTAAACTTAAAACTTTTGTTGGCTCTTTTTCCCAGTATATGACAATTTGAGCTCATCTCCTTTGTGAATGGGTGCAAGTTTCTAAAATGGTTTTATAACCTGGCTACATTTTGATCATTCCCAAATTTGGAACCAAGCAAAAGCACATCAGAACTCAAGTCCCAGTCTCTAGGCTCTGTTCTTAAACCATTTGCAAAATACTGTCTAGGACCATTTTTAGACTGCATGTTCATATTTTCCTATTTGTACATGTTGTTTTCCCTCTTCTTTAAATTTTCATAAAAACAGTGACTGTTACTGGAAAGCATAGATTTAGGACAGGCCAGAAGACTCTGGTGGCTCTCTGGAGTCTTTAAAGGCTGGTTTTTGAATGCTTTAGGATTATCCATGAGGCTCAGCTTTATAAGCATTGAACTCTTGTTTACTTAAGCAAAACAGAACTTCTGAACTTCGCACATGGAGGAAACTGGTGTGACAGTTTGTCAGACAAATAACACTGATGAAATACAGCATCTAATTACTGCAGCATCAAAGAGAAAGTAGAGATAGGTGATGAGGGAGCAACTACTCATTTAAACACATAGTGCTAGTAACTAGCAAGTTGGGTAAGAAAAAGACGTGAAAAGAATAATGCATACATACTGAAGATTGCATTATCCTGCTTGTCACAGCAGGGCTTGGTCAGTTTGAAGTCATGATTTTCAGTCCATAGGCTGATCTTGCTTATGATGGGAGGCATTGCAGATCTCAAGGTCTAATAGCAGCATCCTGTGGTACCCGGAGCTGAAGGGGAAGGACACTATTGGCAATTTCCCCAACTCAGCCAGCCATGCTCATCAGCTGGACTGTGCTCATGCTTCTGAGCCTGTTTTTAGCCTGTCCTGCTTGTGAAGGAAACCAAAAAGTGATCGTGAGAGGAGAGAAGGCAGGGAGGAGGCAGCAGGAGCTGAGGTGGTGGGAATAAAAAGGGGGAGAAGAGGGATGCTGGGAGTCTGCAGAGGGTTATGGTAGTCTGACTTGGGTATGAAAACAACCAATTTGGTGTTTGCTCTGGAGGTGTTAAAGCCATCAGGGTCTGAGCCTAAACATCAAAAGTTAGGGTTGTGCTGTCTAATAAACCTGAGATGTATAATAAATACTCAGCTGTTTTAGAACACTTTTCTTAAGTAGTGACAAGAGGGAATGGTATAATTTTGCCTAATTTGCAAGTAGGGAAACTGAGTCTCTGAGGAGCAGAGAGGCTGCAAAGAGTCATGGAAAAGGGCATAGGCAGACCTGGGGACAGACTCCAGACCTCCAGCAGAGCGTAGTCTAAAATATGTTATTTGCTATATGTCATTTTCTTAAAAATGAGTGAGCCAAATGCTAATATCCTGTTAACAGAATATTTCCTCAGGCAAATGCAGTCGGAAGTCAGTCCCTAAGGAAATGATCAAGTTAAAAGTTCAGGATCTGATTCTGAGATCCCTCACCAATCCTGCAGATAACCATCTCCCCCAGCTTCATATACAAAGCATGAATATTGCCATGGTTTCAGACTGATCTTTTAAACTCTCTGGCTCGTTAGCCTCCTCTAGTGTTCCAGTGTACAATGAACAGTGGCAAATACTCTGAGAAGTCCTGGATCATTGGCAAACTGTAGGTAAAACCATCAGCAAACAATGGACACAACACTTTGCCCTCAGTAGAGATGATACATCAACTCCCTAAACATTGTTAGGATTAGCAGCAAACCTTGGGCAACTATTAAGGTCAAATAAATAGGTGCACTGACTTTTCCTAGTTTTTCTGATTAGGCAAATTAGGCTACATTGAGGAGCGAGGTAACCAACGAGACTGAGGGGGCTGGAACCTGCCTACCGAGAGCTGCTCACAACTTCACATGGTCCTATCCTAGGGACATACTCAGCTGTCCCTTCTCTTTCTCTCCCTTGTGTCCCCTTTTACCTCTCCCTCTCCAGTCAACATTCACAGCTGCTCTGACTCACCAGACACTGAGCTCTGCACAACAGAGCTGTGCTTTGGAGGGAAGTTTAATTTACTGTGAATCTGCAACGTTAGGTGGTAGTCTATGAGGACAATAATTTAGAAAAAAAAAAAAAAAAAATTCTTCTTG